AAATCATTATGACCAGAGATATTTTCAGTATTCGTTATAAGTTTAGGTAAATTTATTTTACAATAATATGAATTTAATTTCATGCATTGTTTTACACTTTGAATCAATTACTTTTTACTTTTTTTTTCTTTCTCTCTCTTTCAACACCGTCTTTCCTTTTCTTATCATCACTCATTTCGAGGAAAACCGGAAAATATTTAATATTAAAATAAGTATATAATATTTAAAAACAAAACTTTTTAAAACGTATGAAATATAAATGTATAGTATATAAAGGTACTTCACTAGTCCATCATACTGTATTCTGTTAAGTAGATATATACTCTGATGACAAAATATGGGAAAATGTATATTTGACTCGATAGTCGCGAGGCGATTAGGTATTATTGTGTCGCAGAACTTCGGCGAAAGTTATAAAAATAGATGGTGTGTTAGTGTGCACAACACTGCATAACGTGGGTATGTCGTAGGTATATAGGTACTAATGTACTATATGTACGGGCTACAGCAAATTCACGTGGATCACCCAATCGCTTATCAGAATTCAAAATATCAAAAATAATATAAAAATTATTATTAATTTCGTTTTCGTGTAGGTATAGATAAATTAACTCCTCACATTACTCAACACTATTTTCATGATTTTTTTACTATATATAGGTAGGTAGGTATATACTTCAGACCAATGGGCCATTTAGCTTTCAGACCACCGGGATTTTTCCCTGTATCCCGGTGGGCCACTCCGACCCTGCGCGTATCCATTAAATAATCTATGGGTAGATATAAACATATTATATATTCAATAGTCTCGACTCTTCGCGTTTCTCCGAATGACGACAGTTTAAATCGTATTTACGACTTTATCGCGTCATTAAAAAATTAATTATATACTTTATGCGCTATTGCTAAACTAAAATATTGTTATTATTGTTAAATACATAATATATAATATAATATTACGTACAAGCCGAATGAATCGACGTATATGTCACAGCGTATATTATTAATATAATTCATGAATTATGATACAGGTACTGAGCGATGAACGAGATACCGCCGTAGAAACGCGCATAAAACTATATACTCTATAACGCATACGCCTCATACATGCGGAGTACGATATGTCAAAGATTATAGGTAAAACGTGTGCACGCGTCAGTTATTTGCACCCACTCCCTCTCTCTCTCTATATATATATATATAATGATACATAAGTTCCCTTCGCCCGGTTGAACCGACTTGTATTATATTTCATAAGCCTACCGTGGTCCGTGATACACAGAGCCGATTTCATCAACACGGACGATCGGGAATGGGGATAACAATATTTATTATTATAGAATATAGATGTTACAATAAATGTTATTTTAAAAATCTAAATACTAAAAACTTATCCTATATACCCCATGTACCACTATAATTTATTGTTATTATTCCAGTTTTGGTTGCAAAGACTAATGGCTGCACCCGTCAATTTTATTTTTATTTTTACAAATAAAAGTAATAATACTCTCAAAAATTGTATAATAATGAATACGAAAATGAGACAAATATTAAAATATATTTTTTTATAAGTTCACGCATCGAATGTCTCGGCAAATTACATGGTACGTATTAATAAGTGTATATTTATTTAATACATATAAGTGGATACAAGGTATAAATTTTTTATTTATATTGGTAGCTAGTAAATAACTATATTCTTGTAAGGTAAAATAATGCAGTGTGTCAATTAACGAAAGCGCTTATTTTCGGTCGGTGCGCACGTAACAGGTTCGATGTAATTTGTACATGTCAGTCGTTCAATCCTCCCTAGCTGGTATATGCAAGATTTTATTATGTAATGTTATTATTATACGTGGTATTGCAATGTTCAATAATTTAATACCTATACGAATTGAGTAGTCGATAATGAAACACACACGATTTATATATAGACGGTAACATTATTAATTGAGAAATAATTAATATATATATATATATATATATATTATTCGTGTATGACTTGGTAATTTTTATACTCAATTGTTCTGTGTGTGTGTGTGTTAACGACATTATATTATATTATACTGTTATAGTATTTACTAGTGGTATATAGCTGCAGCAGTTATATTATTAAATATTGTACACGGTATAGTTTCCAGTCAAACTACGGTGAATCGAATTAAATATGTCAAAATAATAACGGGCGTCTACTTAGGCGATTGGTAATATAAATAGCATAATATATACGTCAGACAATTATTCATTTATACCGGCTGTACCAATGCTAGGTTTTTATGTTATCATTTAACATTATAGTATTTGCGATAGTCGAATACAATAGAACGCGTACATATAATATACCTACTCGTATTACGTACTGGAGCTGGTGTAATCGTATCCATTTATGTAATATTATTAGTTATTATTATTAGTTAACTACGATCGTATGTTATATATATATGTGTGTGTGTGTGTATGTTATAGTAGAGCGTGCACTACTGCATATTTTGAGGTAAAAACTCATTTCATTTTTTTTTTTAAATTCAGTTTTAAGCAATTAAGCTCGATAACAAAATATATTTCTCACGGCATATATTAAGCAGAATTAAAAATCAAAGATTTCAAATAAAGCATGAAGTTACCAATTTATTATAAAATAGAAATAATATATACTTTTCACCCCTCAAAAAATAAATAAATAAATAAGCTGAATGTAGCTATTATAATTATATGATTATGACTGCATGCAGTCAATTACTGCAGTAATTTGTTATTATTAATATATTTTGACTTGCCTACAAAATAATTATACATACATATATACAATTTACTCAAACACCCTCTACCTATAAATCTACGGTGATAACGTGCCATGTCGATAAATATTAAATATTAATTCGAGTAATAAGCAATAATATTGTTTTTAAAATATAAAAAAATATAAACACATTCGATCTACCTATATTACGAATATTCTTATTATTCTACCTACACTATAATAAAATCTCATTGTAATGAGAGATTTATATGTAAATCTATCATATTCTATAATATTGAATGTACCACCTGCCTTCCCTGCATTCATTCTTAAAAAAAAAACTTCGCATTCGTTCATAAAAATAAAAACCAGTTTATTTTTCTTATTTTTTTATGTTTGGTCAATCTTAACGTGACTATCGTATATATAATGTAAATATATACATATAAATAGGGACGAGTTATCTTTTAAAGAGACAGAATATTAATGAATATATATGTATTATGACCTAATGGGTACATAATAATAAAGCTGTATATAGAAGTTACCTACATAAAAAATAAAATTGTGGTATAAATATTATATACACTTAATTATAAGTAAATATACCTAAATTGAATTTCCAAAAATAAATGCAAAAAATATAAAGTAGGTATGAACAATAAATAGTAAATATTGTAGGTATATGTATTGTTTATCTAAAATTAAATGCTTTATAATACTCATAATATATTGATTTTTTAATGTACCAGTTATGTATCGACACTTTAATTCCTATTTCATAATGTATATTTCGTACAATTTATAATTATATTGATGTCAATACTGTGTAATATAGTTGACATTATATAATATAATACGCAATTTTATATTTTTTAAATGTTTATTATTTTACTATTATAGTTCGAATAGTCAAATATATTTTACATTATTTATACGTTATGTATTTAATTATTATAATTTTTATTCAACAGTGTGTTTTTACATAAATTTGTCTAAAGTATAAATCATTTGTTAAGAAAATATATCATTTTAAAATTTTAAATTAAAATAACTATTATATAAAAATTAAAAAGTAAAAACAATACATTAAACATTATCAAGTATAATCAATTATCTTTAATGCTCTTTAAATCTATAGGTTTTTGATCAAAAATTGTTTTTAAATTCGAATTTCAAATAGTTTATAAAATATTAAACATCATAGTTAAAGAAAAAGAAACAGCAATTTAATAATTTATCGAATATAAGATTTTCGGAAAATTCTAAAGATTAATATTTTTATTGATATAAACAGCCAATAGATAATACCTATATTTAATATACCTATACTTATAAGTTATAATGAGTTTTAAATAATGTTAAATGTTTTATAATTTATTTTTTTCATAAAAAGAATCATGATTATAAATTTAAAAAAAAATATCAAAGAATATGATTTTCTAACAAATTTTAAAAATTAATTAATAACTAATAATTATTGTATATCAATATATATAGGTAGGTACTCTTCAAGAGTTTATAAAATATGTATTAAAAATCATTAACTAATGTTTTCTTTTAATTTTACTTAGTTTAGACATAGATAATCTTTTTAAGTATTTGTATAAAGCTACTTTTATTGATAACTTAAAAACGCATTAAATAAGTTATTTATAATATTATGTTGTTTAAAAAAAAAAAAAAAAATGTATTAATTATAATACTTTTAGTTCATCTATATTTTACATACAATTTATACTATTGTTTGTTAAATATTTTTGCTTTTATTACCGGCCGTATAGGTATGCATACCAAAAATATACTAGCAGGTGGTATATACCTACGTGTTATGCACATAGTTTAAAACGTAAAATTATAAAATAACCAAAGTAATCAACATAAATAATTTTCCGAGCGTAAAAATGAAACGCTTATAATTATATATTTTATTATAATACCTATCAACATGGCTTATTTTTTACCTATGTCTTCAATAATCCGTGCGAAACGAACATGGTTCAAAAGAATAATTCTATTTATAATATATATTTTATAAATATTTCACGCAATAGAATAGATAATATTATGTGATAAGTAATATCTATATATATTATTGCAATAATATACATAATATGTATTTATATATTTATAGTTGCAATTTATTAATAAAATTTATCATTATATAACTTATCTATGTTGTGGGTACGGAATTGTTCATACATATCGTTAAAAGTATTAGCTGGGTATATATGAATTATAAATGCAAAATAAAGACTTACCTGTTTTTAGCCGCCGCCGCCCGGTCGCGTTGCCTGCGGTTCTTGAACCAATTGCCCACCTGCGTGGGCGTCAGTCCGGTAGCCTGGGCCAGTTCCTTCTTCTTGGTGGGATTGGGGTACGGGTCCTGGAGATACCATTCGCGGAGCAGGCTTCGGGTGCGCTCTTTGAAGCAGTGGGTCTTCTGCTCGCCGTCCCAAATGGTCCGAGGTAGCGGGAACTTCTTGCGGACGCGGTACTTGTCGACCGGGCCCAGCGGCCGGCCGCGCAGCTTCTCGGCCTCCTGGTAATGGGCCTCCAGCCACATAGCCTGCAGCTTGCCGTGCGAGTCCTTGGTGAACTTGTGGTGTTCGAGTATGGTGTACATGTCGCGGTAGTTGCCGCTGTGGAACGACACTATGGCCCGAGCCCGGAGCACGGCCTCGCTCTTGTTCAGCTCGACGATGTTCGGATGGGCGACGGGCAACGACCACAGGAACCGGGCCAGCCGTTCGATGTCTCCGCTCTCCTCGAGGGTCTCGCACACGCTGGCCACCTGCGACACGCTGAAGTTTAGCATGGGCAACCCGAACATGGGGTTGGGAACCATGGGTGGCATGGGCGCGAGCCGCGTGGCCAGCGGGGTCACGGGGCTGCTGATCGGGCTCACCGGCGATCCCCGGCCCGACGACGAGTCGGTGGGCGTCGAAGATATGCCCAGTGCCATCGCTCTACATGCCACGCGCCAGCCACGAAACCGACGGAATATTATGCGGATGAGCCGCGGCGGTGAGTTTGCAGCCGCAGTTCAGTCGCGGCGGCACAACGACGGGCAAAGTAAAATATTATTACGCGGCGCACGTAGAATTTGTCCCGCGCGCGACGAGGACGATAATCGCAAACTATAGGTATACCTACCCAACTAGATGCGTCGACGACGAGTATGAATATTCATACGTTATTATGTAATATTATTAAAGTATTTAAACACGATCGCGGGACATATAGGTGTGTGCGCAGAGATTTAGACGTGACAATAATAATAACTGCGGTAAATAATATGTACGCGATAATTATTACGGCGGCGAACTAGGCGTATGGTTATAATACCATAGTATACGCGGACGGGTAGGTATATTATAATAACGATATGATACTGGTGACGGTATTATACTACCTACAACGCGACGGACGTAATGCGGTCGTCGCGGCGACGTACGTGTAGACTGTATACGGCCGAGCGGCGGTGTGTATGATACGACACGATACGGGTGTGTGTGCGTGCGTGCGTGCGTGCGTGCGTGCGTGCGCGTGGATGCGTGCGCGCGCGTGTGTCGTCGGTTCGGGGGGATATCGTTTGCGTCAGATCATCGGAATATCATTGACCGGCCGAATACTACTGGTGCGCGACAGTGGCGGCGGCAACGGCGGCAGGGTGAGAGAGCGACCGAGTGAGAGGTTTCGCCCGCCCGCCGGCCCCCCACTACCGTCTCGCGACCGAGGTGACGCGCCTCCTCCCGTTCCGACTCAAACTTCCGTTCCCGCTCCCGCTACCGCCCCGGGTTATATCGTCCGGCGTCGTCGCCCCGCCCATGATTAGCCGCCCGTCGCCATGGCCACGGCCAATCCGGCACGGGCGTATCCTGTACAGCCCCGTATAGGTTACAGCGGCAGCGGACGGCTCGGTGCAGTGATTGATACACTCGGGTGGGGATTTCCACAAACAAAAACCGTGTTCGGTAGCGCTCAACCACACCTCTATTATATTATATTCCATACACCGTGGCCGTCGTCGTCGTCGTCGTCGTCGTTATCGTCGTCTATGTTCGGTTTGGCCGCGGCTGTCGCGCACACGCGCAACACCGACGTCAATCGCCGTCGCGTGTAACGATATTATAATATATTATTATATTATAATGGCATGATAATATGTTTCAATTTTTTTACATTATTTTCGCGTACGTAATATATGTATGACGAGTACGCGTTTACTTACGTTACCTATAGGTATGTACCTACGTTACGACGTGTAGATACCACCAGAATAAATATCATTAAATCCCATCGAAATGAAAAAAATTCCATCCCTACGGACTGCAGCAGCAACAGCAGTGTCGTACGTTTGGTATAGAGTGCAGGTAATAATATAATATCAATGTGTATGAGCCATGAGGTATCAAGACGTTCAAATACACTCCTACGGTACAATATTGTGTAAACCTAATTCATAGATATTACAGCTCGTTCGTTTTCCCGATAGATATATAAATATATGTTATATTGTGTGGTCATTATCCTATATATTATCTATAATATAACATATATATTATTAAACAACTTGCGGTTTCTATATAATGCTATTAATAAGTATATATAACATGTTTTAGTGTTTTCACCTATATAGGTACTGCTGTAGAAGTGCAGCTGACTCACAGTGAAAGGAACCATTTGGGTATTTAGACTTTTCGCGGATCGTACGACACAACACATCAATATAGGAACAACTATGTACATTGCAGTACAGCATATACCTAATGATTTCATTACCTATACCGCCATACCGGACGCATCGCACGTGTAACAATATATTATTCATGATGACACGATAAATACATCACTGTACTTTTACAGTAGTTAATACACTAGTTGCTATAACCTGATATACGACAATTATTGTACCTATACCTAATATACTAATTAGATCCAGATTTCTATAATAGATAAATTTATTTTAATTAATTTTATTTATTTACTATATTGCTTTTTGTACAAAGAATTGAATCTCATAGGGTTTTCACTTAACAGCGATAACTATTACGTATAATATCACATTATATAAAAATATAGACACACCTAACTCTAAAATGTTTGTAAATCTTAACCTACAAATTTGTTAATGTAGTAAACCCAAAACCCCTAAACTCTATTTTAGTTATTATAAAATAATATAACATGATAAATTATACATAAAGTATAATTTATGGTATAGCAACTAATGCGTATAGGTAGATATTGATACAATTATACGGATATTAAATAAAGACTAGATCAAGAGGTGAAAACAACAAGTTGTTTCCTCCATATACATAAAATACACATTAAAAATAGGATATGGGATCATCACGCCACCTTTTTTTCATAGATAAGACCTATAAATATGGGTAAAGCACCTAACATTAGGAGAGAATAGGTATAGTTATTACAGTAGACTTGTGTACAACGTGCTTACGACAATAAGACTTAGATTTTATTTTAACTATTTTTTAAATTGTATATAATAAAATATTCATTTTATTTGTAACTTTTAAAATAAAGTGATTCTTTTATTTTTAAACTACCTACTTTCCTCAACACATCTCAAGACTACTTCGAATGTGCGACATCGTTAAATAATAATCGTGATATCGATTACAGTGTCCTGCACAGTGATCACTATATACACTAAGTTTATTAAACAATATTTTATCTAATACTAGTGTTTTGTAACTTACATACGTGTGCCAGAGACGACACGATTACAATGCGAGCTGGTGCTGAACTTCGGATTCTATTGGTAACAGAAGCAATGTGAATAAAAAGTATGCCAATAAATGATTAATTATGCCGAATTGAAGTTTAAAACCATCTTCGGTTTTACCCTTAGGACACGTCATGACGCCTATAATATTCGTTAAGTTGGATTTCATCATAGGTCCTGCAACTTATATATAAAAGTATAAGACTGTCAAACATACATTGTGCACTGAACTAACCGGCATTATTCATTAGCAGCTAGTGAATTTGTTTTTCTTTCTGTAAAATATTTTTCGTTCAACATTTAATTGAAGCAAAAGATACCAAATCCAATTCCTCTATGATCAGTTGTCCAAGTCCACCACGATTTTGGACACTGCCTGTTCCGCTTTTTTAACATCCCGGCACGCCATTATGAATTTTGCACCTGAAATCATAATTTTAGATATATTATACTTTACGTAATGTAATAATGTAATATATTTACTTAAAAAAATTAAACTTTACGTAATTATATATTTTCGTAGTTTACTGCGTTTACGAATAATGTTGGGTATAAAAGTCTATTTTATTCAATTTTATATTTTCATATATATAACTATTTTAACTTTGATAAAATGGTAGTATCTACACTTTTATCCATTCATGCGATTCTTAGCTGATCATAAATTCTGGGATAGTTTATATATTATGTTTATAAATTCATTGCATTATTATGTTAAATTCATAAATGAACATTTACCTTAACACTTTCTTTTTCGAAAATACTACTGTAATCTTTTATAATTCTTAGGTTATTCTTAAATGTTATATAATTTTCTTATATTTATATGTATATTGCATATAGGTATATATTAGAACAAATATTTTCGTGTAGGAATAGTTTCTCTCGAAACTATTGAATAATTTTACGATTTTTTTCACAGAGTTATTTCAAATACTTCCTCGAGTATTCCTATTTCGCCCATTTTTTAAATTATTGTCTGATAGAAGGAGAGGAAGGGATGTATTGTACTTAAATATAACGATTTTTCGGAGAGGCATTTGAATAATTTTACGTTTTTTTTTTTTTTCATACAAAGTTATTAAATTATAAAAACTGTAGTATATATTATTATACAAATATTATAAATAGTTGCATTTTTTTTTTAAATAACTGCACGCGGTTAAGTCGAGGAATTTAGCTATAGTAGTAGATATAGTTATTTATAAATTCAACACCTACGCCAAATACGTTACAATAAAGCTAATTTAATGGCACGGTGGATGGGATTCATTCACAGAAATCGACCACGACACGCTATCTATACGCATATATAGGTACCGATATATTATACGCACCAATGCGGCAGTGCATATTTTATTTCGTAAATTTATTTACCTAAATAATATTATTCTGTAGGATAAACACTTTAAAAATAATAGAATTTGTAAATGTTTAACTACACACCTACACCGAATGTTAAGTGTTAACATATAATAGGTATATAGGAATTTGTTCATTTATCGTAGTATAGTCGTATAGAATCATTATAGAATCTATATTTAAACCTATAAAATATAGATTATATAAAAGAACAGCCTCTTTTTATGTTCCCGTTTTGTGACGACACTATTTAACATTTTTCCAAGTTTTTTTCTTTGCAGAGTTGTTCAAAATACCATTCTGAGTGTCACCACGTCGCCCGATTTTTCATTTTCTTTCCCTGAGGGGAGGGAAGTGGGTATTGTATTTTGATTGTTCCCATTTTGTAACGACACTATACTTAATATTTTTTCAATTTTTTTTCACTGAGTTGTACTAAATACTCCTACGAGTGATCATTATATTTTTATTTTATTTATAATTAAGCTACTACTACTACTTAGCACTTGATAAAATTAAGTAAAATTTTGGGAAAGCGCAAACTATACACACGGTCGAAGCCGGGTAATTCGTCTATAGTATAATATATATAATATAATAACTATTAATAACATGTGTTATCTATGTATTTATACGTATGAATGTATAATAGATTGTACGGAAATATATGTTTGTACATTTATTATTTTTACACAAAACATGTTATAGGTAATAATAATATAATATATACAGACAGCGCATATTTGAATTTTGCAACTATACTCTCTACTACATAACAATCGTCTCACCTATAATATCGACATTACTAGCTATGCTCTATATTTTAATTAATAGGTAGGTATAATAATATATAATATCTGCAATTCAACTGATATATTATTATATAGTAATTATATAATCTATATTATGAATATGAATTATTTATACGAAGCAATATCATAGACCAAAGTGCAATATATATATATATATATATATATATATATATATATATATATGTAATAATAGATATTATCATATGATACATATATATATATATATATATATATTTAAATAGGCAGTTGTATTAATTATATAACTTTATAATGTTTGAATATATTTATTATAAATTAAAAATCAAGAAATTAATTTTCTTTTAGTTGTCATGAGATCTATATTTTTTATTTTAGTGAGTATCTTCATAATAATGATGAAGAAAAAAAATCTGCGAAAATCGATAATTTTGAAATTAGATATAATAGCTTATATGATCTTCCAAGGTTCACAGTTTTTCGTTTTGTATAATATATACACAGAGCACAACGATTTAGTTTTCCGCGGCTTTTAAAAGAATTTTGAGTAAAGTAATAATTTAAGTACCTATACTTATATCGTTTCCTTCGAGTAATTCAGGTCGGCCTTGCAAATTTAGTATGATATAATATTATTATGGTAGTCACTTTCTATACCGTTTTCAGTTTAAGTTACATGAATATATAAGATTTAGGTATGTGGTTGCCCCTGGATGGAA